ACTTTAAAAATAAAATTATTATAAGAAGTCTATTTTTTGCACCTGTGGGTGGGTCAGAGTACAGCCTTTTCTTCCCCCTCAGTAGTTTACTCAGGTGTAAAATTATTTCTTTTTGCTTGGCATGAGCGGTGATTACATACACAGAAATACTGATGAGCTGTGTATGGACATTCATCTCACATTTTTCCTAAGATATGCCCTGGTTGGGAGATGGGCCGAGGAGGACAGATTTAGCCGTGTTCCCTGGTGAGCATTCTCCTGGTTGTACTGTATTTCCACGGTATTGTTTCTATGCTATTTTAAATATATGGAATAGATAAATAACTGGAGAATCTGGGTAGAGTGAAAAAGGCTTGCTTACTTTGGCTGCCCCAGAACCAATTCTGGTTTGCCCCAGATTCTGAAAGGGGAATTAGTATAAACGAGAAAGGGAAGAGATATAGGAGAATAATACTTTGATTTAAATTGGGTCGGCTTCTCTTTTAGGGAGGAAATAAATAGAGAATAAAATGTAGTAATGTATTTTCTAGGAGTGGTACACTGGCAAAACCCTATTCCTTTCTTTAGCAACACTTTGATTTACTAAAATAGATGATATACATATAGATGATATTTATTGATTTCGTAAATGTAATACCTTTGGGCTCGACATGCTGTTTGATTAATTTTTTCTTATATAACATATGCATTTGTTATATGCATTAGAAGTTAGCTTACTACGACCTGATTGAAAAACAACCACTCTTTCCCCTTTGGTTTATCACTCAGCTACTGAAAACCTGTACAGCAATTGAATATAATTTGTCAGAGTGGTAAAGAAATTGCCATGCCATTTTCACATTCCAATCATCTGTTCATCTGTTTCTCAGAAGAACAAATACAAAATGCCTTTGATTTAACTTAATATATTTTTTTTAAAAGTCCCAAATCTCTTGAACCGTTTGTCTTCTGGGCTCAGAGGCATTTGTTTGTTAAATATTCAATCACGCCCCAGTGCTGGGAACATCAATAGAGTTTGCCTGATTAACTGTAGCACAGCATATGTACGCTGAAGATGAGAATGATTTCCCCAAGGACCCAGCACTTCCTCTGCTGAACTATGTTTCTTAAAAGGACATGCAGATGGGCATTTGGACAATAATTTCTGGACGCACAGAATGGATTGTTCTTGCTGAGCTGTAATTTTAAAAAGATAATTTTAATGACTCTTGAGGGCCACCTACTTGGAGCAGATGGGACCCAGGCTCTTTGTATCAAAACTTTAATGTTGAGTGAGTCAGGATGGAACTCTGTTTTAGCCTTTGTGAAAGTGGATGATCATATTTATTTATATTTCAATTGATTTTTTAATTCAGCCCACAGTGAAAAAACGTCTTCTATAACATTTTTAAAAGTTCTATAAAAAAACACGTCTGCAATATTCCAAACACACCTTTGATGGCAGTTCTGAATTTGTAATTGAGGTGGAGTCAGCAGGAGTTTTTACTTTTGTCCAATGTTTTAGTGACTAAATGTATGAACTGACAGCATCTTTTAGTTGGGACATTAGCGCTAGCAGCCAATAGAGATGATATAGGTATATATTTCCATTGTCACCTAAAGAGCACAATTATTTACATAGATACAGTTAAAGACATGAGTCATAACAGAGTGAGGAAAATAACTTCTTCTTGGGGCACCTGGCTGGCTGAGTGGGAGGAGCATGTGACTCTTGGTCTCAGGGTCATGAGTTCGAGCCACACGTTTACTTAAAACTAAAATCTTGGGGCACCTGGATGGCTCAGTCAGTTAAATGTCCAACTCTTGATTTCTGTGCAGGTCAAGTTCCCACAGTTCGTGGGATGGAGCCCCATGTCAGGCTTTGCTCTGACAGCATGGAGCCTCCTTGGGATTCTCTCTCTCCTCTATCTCTGCTGCTACCTCTCTCTCTCTCTCTCTCTCTCTCTCTCTCTCTCAAAATAAATAAATAAATAAAGATTTTAAAAAATCTTAAGGGGCACCTGGGTGGCTCAATTGGTTGAGTGTCCCACTCTTGGGTTTCGGCTTAGGTTGTGATCCCAAGGCTGTGGAATTGAGACCCTCATTAGGCTCCATGCTGAGTGTGGAGCCTGCCTGCGATCCTCTCTCTCTCTATCTCTGTCCCCTCCCCCTCGCTCTTTCTCTCCTCTGCCCCTCATCCCCACTCGTGCTCTCTCTCTCTCAAATAAAAATAAATAAAATCTTAGAAAAAGATTATTATCTTCTTTGATGATAATAAGATTGACCACTCAAATGTATCTTAAAGGTCTTCACTAACAACCATCCCCAAGAAGTATTTTTACTTCCACCTCTTGAATTTTACAGGAAACTATTAAAGTAATACGGTTCTCTTTGGGTGGCAAAGATAACTGATAGTGGTAATTTATAATGCATTTTACTAACTAGTTTATAAGGAAGTAAAACGAAAAGAAGATGTAAGTGTTTCTAACAGGTAATTAATCTGCAACATGCTTGATATTAAAAGGGGTTGGGCAAATTATTTTTGTAAATATGTTTACCTATAGCCAATGATGCTTCACAGACAAATCATAGCAGAAGTTAGAAGGACTCTACGGGATGGGCAAACACCATCATGTGAATATTTGGGGAAAATGATGAGACTCCTTAATTGTTTAAGACAGAAACATATTTTTCTATAAGTTAAGACTTCATGCTCTTTTAGCTGATAACAATTTAAAGATTTCTTGTGGAAACTCTATCCACAATCAAATATTTACCTACAAGATGTTTATCTTTTAGCAAAAGTGGCATAATGATATTCTAAGCAGACAAGAGTTTTATAATGTTTTTACTTGCCTACAAAAATGAAGAACCAAGTCACAAGAACCAAGGGGCCTGTGACTTCTGCAGAGAAGAAGAGAGCTTCAAAAGATAATAATAAAGACATATAGGGGCTCCTGGGTGGCTCAGTCAGGTAAGCGTCTGACTTCAGCTCAGGTCACGATTTCTCCGTTCATGAGTTTGAACCCTGCATCGGACTCTGTGCTGACAGCTCAGAGCTTGGAACCTGCTTTGGATTCTGTGTCTCCCTCTCTCTCTCTGGCCCCCACCACCCCCTGCTTGTGCTCTGTCTCTCTGTCTCTCAGTCTCTCAAAGGTGAATAAATGTTAAAAAAAAATTCTAAAGATAATAGTAAAGACATATAGATGTGAACAGCCTTAAAAAGTTTCTCATGAAAATTAACTATTAAATTTGCCTGGTAGGTTTACAGAATATGTTATGTTGTAATTCATAATATACAGGAATAAAAATGCAAGGCCATATATTCAAAATAGAAGCCTTCCATTTTTTCCCAACACATACATTGACATTTAAAAGTTTTTAAAGGCTACACAGAAATATAAGCAGCCTCAAATGGAGTAAATATTCTTTCTATTTTGTGTATGTACGTGTGTGTGAGAAAGTAATTCAAATTCATTAGTTAAGTGCACAGGGGTGAATGTTTTGTAGACGAACTCAGAAATCTAAACTATCAGGAAAAAAATACAACGAAACAGCTTAACTGCTGAGTGTTAACAAAAAAGTACCTTGAAAGCAAAAATAATGGGAAAGCTGAGAGGGAGGACTAAAAGGGTCCTTTTATGCCGTTGTTGGTGAATTTGTCCTCTGCAGCCCTCTACGGAGTTAGATGGGGAGAAGATCTGGAAGCTTCCGCTAATTTGAATTCTCTAAGTAGTCAGTCTACATAATTCATGTCCAACTATGGATAATTTTTTGGCTTAATGTTCCAATTTGGATTGTGATACAGGACAAATTACCTGGCCTTGCAAGTATCTACTTTAGTGTGTGATACACAGCCAGAGTTTTGGGGAAAAAAATGATGGTATTTCCAAATGAAAAATTAAGTTAGGGTTGTAATAAAATATTAATATAAAGCTAACTATCTCAAGCTGTAAACCAGGCGTATACTCAAAGCCACGTTGGGAATAATGGCATAAAATACAATGTAGAGATGATAACAGTAACAGGCTTTTTTTCCTTTCATATGCTGCAATAGTGTGAAAGGAGCTTTCAAGGATAATTCACTTTACACAGTAGTCTTGATTTTATAGCTATATATTTCCATAGTGTGCTTTTCAAATAAGAAGTACAAACTCAAAATTAATTGAGTATCAGGAATATTAGTATACATGGCTGCCTAGGGAATAAAATATATAGTACAGCAAAGACAAGAGCATATGCAAAAAAAGAAAACTTATAATTTTGAGGATCTCACACTAATGAAGATCTCAGATGTGAATTAATGAATAGGCACTTAAATTACAAAATCAATATATCACTGAAAGCTTATTTTAATTAGCCTTTACTATTGTATGTGTACTTTCCCTCTAGCTATCATAATAACACGATTTGATTTTGCTTAGTTTACATACTACTGAATATACCTAATTTCCCTTTAAAAATACTCAATGGTCTACCATCAAATAAAGTCTTTTAACTACAAGTTACAAACCTAAAGCATAGTAAGTAATGTAATTATACTCATTTTTCCCCCGTTATTTATAACATAACATTGTTTTCCTTAAGTATAATTATGTTACTCTAAGGATATAACGTTCTCAAATAATGCAACTAATATAGTAAGGATGCCTAAATTAACCGAACTGATTTTTCTTCAAAGACTATATGTAAATAAACATTTGAAATATGTAATCCAATTTCCCATTGACTTACACAATTAATAAATGGGAGAAGTAATCCTACAGAAAAAGAAATGACCAAAAAAGCCCCAAACAATTTGATAAAGAAGGGATCATCACAAATTCTAGAACTCATTTAAATACAACCCGACATTTTTGTTGGTCATGTTTTCTATTTTAGTTTGTGTCTTGTTCTTGCCTCTAACAACAAACCCTAAAGCCTGTATAATATGACAAGGCTTCTGCCCTTCTCTCTGGCTGCCACTGTTAGCAGGCTCCCACTAAAGGTGGGCCAGGACCAGTGTTAGCAATGAGATGGTCTGAGTATAGGCTCTAGCCGTATGCTACTGGTCATTTTGATGGTCATGGCACAGGGGTGACCAGATAGCTATGCCTCTCAGAGCTTGGGTAATGCATGATACATTTATTTTCGATTTTGTATAGTTGGTAATTAGCATATGTCTGCATAATAAACAATGAAAAATGTAAGGAGTAGCTAATAGCAAAAGAAAGCACATAAAGTGATAACAAGTTAAAATATTCAGAACTAGTATTCATTTTCCCATGAAGCTCTATTGCTTCTTGTCAAGACTTTTCCTTCATACAGACAGAAGAGGTAAGTTCCTCATGTCGTGATATTTAAAGGGCAGTTTCCCATAAAACTTCTCTCAAAGTTTTCCAGGGAAGGAACTAATAATTCCCACCTGCCATGAAATTTCCACCATTACAGGAATTCTTTTGGTTTAGGTAAGAAAGATGGTGCTGTGCACATGGGAAAAGGATGGGCTATCGTGTTAATGAAATGATATTAATTAACTTATCAGACTAGCCAATTAAGACCGCAGAAGAATTGACAGCTGGGATGGAGGAGATACTAGATGCTGAAGGCAAATCTCTATTTTATAATTTTTATACCTTAACATTATTCAGGGTGAAAGGGACAAAGACGTCCTGAGCACAATTTGATACGCTGGCATCAAATATACTATTTATGCAAAAAGGGATTTATAGTAGGTTTGTTTGGTAGGACTAATAGTTTCACCACACTCAGAAGCACATATTATAGAAAAAGGATTCCCCCATGCACTTTGCTATGGAAACTCATTAAAAGTTGCAAAACACCATAATTACTGCCTGAATACTCTCATCACATTCTCAACTGGCTCTGAAGGTAGGAGCTCTGTACCTAACCTGCATGCTACTGTCCGAATGGGGATCCTTGAGTTATAACTTGAAAAAAAAATTTTTTTGTAAGCATACACAAAAATTTTTTCTAATTATAATTATATAAGCATTATATTACATATAATCTAATATATTTATATTTATAAATATATTTATTATATAATTTATTAGATATAATAATTATATAACTTTAATATAGAAATGATTTGTATAATTTCTCTAAACCATAACTTGACTGTAATCTGCTTTTAAGATAATTATTTTTCACAGAAAATATGAAGGCCTATCATTAGAGCACAAAACTAAAGGAACTTCACAAATAAATTCATTTTATATGGGGAAAAAGAGTTACTGGATTAAGTTTTAAGCAAATGTTTCAGAACTACTTTCCATTTGGTTTATAACGAGTTTTTTTTTTTTAACTTTATGTGAATTTACCAATTTGTAAGATATGTTTGTATTCTAAATAACCGCAAACAGAAAACCCTGGGTAAGGCAAGTCCCAGCACTAATCCATGATTCATTATCTAGACTTTAATTGGCACAACTCTTGAAATTCTGGGACCATATGGAAAATAATGAGTCCTAATAGGTCTAAGGTGGAGAGATGGCAGGGGAGTAAGGAAGCCAGAAAACTGTCAATTCGGAATGCTTGGCCACTGCAGCACGATTCCCCCAGAGAGCCAGAACAACGTGTTCTCAATGTCTTACTGGTCTCGCCATCATACAACTAAACTGCGTGTTACTTCTCATTCTGTGAGGCAAAAATTAAAGCGAAAAAACAAAAACAACCCCAAAACTGGTTTCCATAATTAAAATTGAAATTGGCTGACTGCTAATAAAAAAGGCAGCAATTTAGAGTTACCATAACAACCTGAGGCAACTGTTGACTGACACTGCAATCTGCTGCATTTTTATAAATAGCAGTTGATTTCTCCTCTTTCATTTCAACTGGTTTTAGCGCTCATTGGAGATAATGCAACAACTGCGTTTTAAAACGACTGCACTTATCAAGCAGTGTTACCTCTTCGCTGCTGTCACCGCCATAAAAATCATCCTCCGATTCAGTGTCTCTCCTTGTCACACTGGTATCCTCTTTTAGATCCAAAATAAATGGGCACCCCTCTGGGGACAGAGTTTGAGTTTTTCCGTGAGGTGCTGATCGCGGTCTTGATGAAAAAGTGAAAATGTCCTTTGGAACAGCCTGGGTTTCCTCTGCCAGTTGGTCACGTTCACTTTCCTTGCTGGCTTCTAGCCACAGGTGTGAAGCGTGGCGGGAGTCATCATCTAGAAGGAGAGACTGTCTGCTGGATGCCAAATGGGAAATGTGATCATTTTCAGGAAATATCCACTCATCTGACATTTGAAAAAGATGAGAAAAATTAGAGGAGTGTTCCAGAAGTGTTATATTAGGCAGGTGGTTAGTTCAAAATTTCTTGTGTTGAAACAGAGATTTATTAAATAATGCAGAAGTCAAGGAATGCAATCTATCCACATCCTGTAACCTGCTAAACATTTAACCCCATAGATCAGAGCCTACAGCTATGGGCAACTCATTTGCACTTTCTCTCCATCTGAGTTGAAGTACTGGCCGGGAAATTTATAAGTCTGAAATAATTATCACCTGTCTTGCAGCAAGCTCTTTATAGCACAGCCTCATCAATTTGATATTCCAGGGGGGAGGAAATCTTCCAAATTTAAAAGCGTCTGAGTAACTAATATCTTCTTTTACCTGTAGGAGGGCAGGGCATTTAACAAGTTTCTTTAAATAAAATATCTGGGCATTGTTCAGATTACAAATCATGGAGGAGAGGAAACCATGAAGACGTTAACAGGCTTTTCTTTTCCCTTTCACTGACTGAAGTGGGGGCAATTCATAGACTAAACTGAGTAGACTTTTCAAGTAATAGTAAATCCACAGAAATACTTGTTAATGTGACTGGTGATTTCTGCTGGTGAAAATGTTCTTTATGTTTAACTATAGGAGGGAATGTTTTCATACAAAAATCTTTTTGCACAACATTGTTTTTGTTAAAAATACTGAATACTACACCACTGAGATACATTTATATCAAAACTTTAAAAAATCTTTTAAAAAGTAGAGTTGATGTACAACGTCACATTAATTTCAGGTGTATAACATAGTTTAATCTTTTATGTAACACTGAGGTAGATTTTTATAGCTATGATCCAGGCAAATTGGAACAAATATTTACAATGAGTATCATTAAAAGCATGCTTATTCTCTTTAGAATGATGACAGGAAAAAGTCACATTTTCTCAACTTAGTCTATTTTCCTTAAAATTTACTTTTTTCCCTCCTACATTATGTCAATGGTGAAAATCTTACAAAAATCTGGGTTCAGCAGAACCAAAATGTGGACATGGTCATTTTATCCTGACTCTGGAATCTGGCTACATTTATCTTCACAAGGAAAGTAACCAAGAGTTGCTGACTTGAAACTCTAAAGCCTACATCAGGAAACCAACAAAGAAAAGACCTTTAATAAAAGTAACATTAATGGCACAAATGAAATTGTATTCAGCATAATGTATTCGCTGGTTGCGTAACTTAGCACTATCATTATATAACATAACTTGCCTATAGAAAGAGTAACAAACACTTAGGGAACACCTACAAGGGACAAGGCTTTCACATTTTCTGTAGGTAAATGGCCAACAGCAGGCTGAATCTATGTCATCAGACCACATTCACAGGGGATGTGGAGACTCCTGGGTCAGTGTGCCGTGAGCAGGTGAAATAAACAGATTCACTGGGCTGTCCTCTTTGGGACAGCAAAGTCTTTCACGTGGTGCTAAGAACATAGCACATGCTTTGTAAACTCTGTAGATGCTTTATTAATAAGTAAATGTTGAAAAAGATTAAAAAAAAACCCAATGTGTTGCATTACATACATGGATCCGTAAAGAAAATTGGAGGAAAAGATACTGGGAATCTTCATTATGCAATTAAACAACGTGCATGACCTATTGCCAAACATATTATTAACTGTCAAAAAGTCAAAGTCAAAGGAGTGTTTTTACACCAAACGGACTCTAATTATCTCACCGCCACATGCTTTTTTGGAATTTGTAGTTTTACCTCAAAGTATTTCCATATCAATTGTAATGAATAATTTGGTGTGTTTTCTTAGGAAAATATGTAAATTACTGTGTAATCACAATATTGCAGCAAACAAGATAAATGCAAGAATGATCACCTAAACATCTAATTAGTTTTTCTACACAGTCAGATTTATGCTAGAGACACTAATTGCGCCTAACATTTTAATGAAGGTTTCAACATTGCATAAATAAGACTGACAAACTACAAACAATTTTCATTTATTTTCCCTTTTCCCTCGCTCAGAACAATTCGCCTTTGTAAAAGTACCACACACCTGCTAGGCAAGATATGTTGATGGGCTCAATGTGCTAGACTCCAACTATCTCCATTATAAAGAGGATGGGGGACTTGTAACAATAGGTAATCTTTGGGGATGGTGATGATGTCAGGTGAAAACTTTGGAGTTTCAAACTTTCCTTCTGATGCATTGAAACTTGAACATAAAAATACCCTTTCATCCCTCAAAGTCTGACATGCAAGTGGGGTTAAAAGGAGATTTATGAAAAATGATAGATTTTTAGCAAGCGACTGAATCACAACTTTTCAAAATGACTGGGTTTGAAATGTTCGACATACTTAGATTTTATTCATTATTAACGATTCTGGGGTGCCATAAAGATGCCAACCTGCTTGATCAGGAGACTGTGGTGCTGGAGAGCTTGGGTTCATCTCTGCTTTCTGTTGGGACACACTGTTGAGGGGGGTTGTCGCTTTATCTTCATTCCTGTTATTTCCTGAAGAACAGCCTTTATTGGAATAAATATTTTCCACTATGTTATTTTTGATTTTTTAAAAAAGTTATTTTCAAAGAACACTATTAACATGGGGTACTTTTCTACATGACTATTGAAAAGCACATCAGAGGTGACAATACAGATTATATGCAGTTTTTTTTTCTTTTCCACTAGAATGTTTTAAAGATGAACTCAGCTGCATTTTTGTAGCAGTTCATCTTTAAACTCCTTGATATTTGCATGGGGGACATTTTAGATTTAAGTTTTACAATATGCAATAAAAGGAATTCCAAAACCCATATCATTTTTAAAGGGTCCTATATTTTCCCCTTTGGTTCCACATAAAATGGAGTGTGTTTACTTTAAATTACAACTCTTGCTGAAACAGACTCTTTTAAACCAAGCTCTTTCCTTCAGCATCTTAAGAAAATGGACACAATTAATTTTTCTATCATTTTATAAAAATAACACAAATCCTAACAAGTTGAATTTCAGCATACCCAAGAACCCTACATTTTTGAGAAATTATGGTAGCAGATGAGTACAAGACATACTCTGGGCTTGACTCAGGGTAACTACTGCATGTGCAGACAAATCTATCCTTGCATTACCTCAAATCCAGTATTCAAAGGGATAACTATAATAGCCACCTAAATTTATCTAATGCTTTACTGGTTGCAAACAGTTGAAATTTTAACCTACATTATATCAGATGGCATAGAGTCAAAAGGGAGAGACAGTAAATGTAAAAAAAGATGAATATGCATATCTGAAAAGGGCTCAATTTAAAAAGAAGAGATATAAATGAAACATGAAAAATTACGAGTTAAGTTCAATTTTAGGAAAGTCTGCAGGAAGAAACCTCCCCTATCAAATTTGGGCCGTTTCTAAAAAACAGTAATTTAAGCTTATTCAGCCTTTGAGAGTAGAAAGTAGGAAGTCCTTTATTTCTGTGGTACTGTCTATTTAATCCAGCAAATCTCCGTTAGGGCTCTAGAGCAATTCTTTTGCAGAAAATTTGATTTCCATAATCCCTGTAGAAAAGATATTTATATTTTAAATGAATTGGTTCATAATCCTTTGAAATTTACAACCTGCAGAGAGAGATTCCATTGTTCTGAATAATATACAGATATAAGATAGTATTGAATTAGGGTCGTACCTCGGTGTGCCTCTGTCCTTTCTCTGTTGGTGCTTTTTAATCGTAATCTTCTCCTGTTATTATTCTTATCTGCTGATGGTTCTTGAGGGGGATGTGGGTGCATAACATGCAGATCAGCTGGTATGTTTTCATATCAAAGAACAAAAAGCCAGAACAGAAAGTAGTATATGGTTTGAAATAACTCAGTAAATATAATTAGAGCCATAATGAGAATGTTCCCGTATCATTTTGACATCATGCAAAGCTATATCAAAAGCATAACTTATTCCTTCATGGAAAATAGGTATTTATTCCTACTCCAATATTAGGATCATATGAGACTTTCAAAATTACTAACACATTTTATTCTTGTAACATAACCTTACAGAGAGCTACAGGTAATTTGGTTAATGTTAATCACACAACACGCTATATTAAAAAACATAAAAAATGGAACTGATAGCTAATACAGAAGAATAATTTCTTCCTTTAAAAGAAGAGGTAGATAAATTTCTAAAGAACCATAGAGAACTGAGATTAAACCTGAAAAAGAATTCTTAAGTGTAATTTAATTATGTAATAGTAATAATAATAATATTCATAGTAGCACTTAATAATAACTGAATGTTTAATTTCTTGGCACAATATGGTATATTTGACTGATTTTTCTTCTTGAATCCTCACAAAGACCATGTGAGGCAGTCATTACTACTATAGTGCCAGCAGTAATTTTATCCCCATTTTATAGATGAGGAAACTGAGGCCCACAAGGTTTGGGAAATTTGATTAAGGTCTCACAAATGGTGGTAGAGTTGGGACTAAATATCTGTGTTATTCATTTCTTTATTTCAGTTTTGTATTGCATGGGAAATATAGTCTGTAATAATGATCATTAATCTCTAAAGCAAATAAAATGAACACAAGTGCCCCCCTTTTCAACTCTCACAAAAGTCAGACATGCAAGAATGGAAAAACTGACAGTGAGTGGTAAGCCTTTGGTGTTGGTCTCAATCCTTTCCAATGATTACAAATTTCAAATCACTTTGCCTCTCTGTTAGCCATGAACCTTCAATCTATAAAATGGGACAAAAATCTCCTCTTCACCAACAGGGTTCTTTTTATAGCAACAAGAGAAAATAAAAAGCACTTTATAAATGGAAGAGATTAGTTAAAAGATATAATTAAGAAAACTTAAAATGCAGGTGGAGTTCTCAAAATATAGTGACAGTAGAATGCTATATTATTTCCTTGCCAATCATCATAAAATAAAAACACAGGGTACTGTGGCAATTTGAAATAGTGGAATAAAGAGAATAATAGGTTCTAGATGATAATATATGTATAAATTTGAACATACTTCAATATCCGCCATCTTTTTCATTTTTATTTATTTAATTACTTTTTTTTCATATTTTTCATTTTTAAATGATAATTCTCTGGATGTAAGATCTAGTCAAGAATATAACTTCGAATTTATCTTCACAAGAACATTTCTAACTGTTTTCCCCTAGCTATCAAAACTTATGCATGGTGGCTCAGTAAGTTAAGCATCTGACTTCAGCTCAGGTCATGATCTCATGGCTTGTGAGTTCAAGCCTTGCATTGGGCTCTGTGCTGACAGCTCAGAGCCTGGAGCCTGCTTTGGATTCTGTGTCTCCCTTTCTCTCTGCTCCTCCCCAGCCTGCACTCTCTCTCTCTCTCTCAGAAATAAATACACATAAAAAAAATTAAAAACAAACTTATGCACGATTCTTACCATGAATAGGTACGGTCTGCTTTATTTGGCAAATATTTTCTTTATGTCTTTGCTCCTCCGACGCAGGTATCAGTGAGGCTGACATTTCTGCACTGCTAACACAGTTCTCTGCCATAGACTGTTGGCATGATCGGTTATTTCTGGACCCAATGGATCTTATTGTCTATAAGGAAAAGGAATTATCTGCACATTTTTAAATATGGGAATTGCATTTATTTCCTGTAGAATATACACAGATTAATAATATTTGGGCAACTAAAATGTGAGGAAAAAAAAACTAGAGGAAATGAATAGATTAGAAGGTTGGTGGAGAGGAAAATTATAGTAGAAAATTGGAAAGGAATGGAAGGAGAAATATAACATGAGATAAAACAGAAGTCAAGCGAGTCTTCTAGACACAAGTTAAAATGTGCTTATTTGATACATTCCATCTTTAGTAGGTAGGCGGTGAGTTGAAAATTTCTGTGTATGTCTGAAATTCGGAGGAAATTAAAAATAAAAATACAACATCTGAGAATCTGGTTGTTGTAAGGTGTCTGGTGATGATCCAATTCCTTTTTGAAGGAGAGACCATAAAATGTGCTCACATATATTTGTCTTTAAGTTTTGTGAACACAGTTAATGAAAAGAATACTCAGAAATGTTAATTGTGTTGATATGGCAAAAATAAAACAGTTTTGAGGTATTTTTAAAAATCCAGAATTTGTTCCAAATTTATTCAAGCCTTCTGCTTTTGGCATGTAGTCTCTCTCCTTCTTCCCCAACCCCCAATCCCTGCACTGGGGAAAAAACCTTTCCCTTCCCATGCCTCTCACGCTTAGATGAGCTCTTCAAATCTTGCTCCTACCTCACTGTATATCCTCATGTTATTTCTTCTGCCAGAGAGTGGAGGTGGTCCAAGTACTCTGGATCCAAAGGCGATATGACAAACATCGTGATTTTTACTGGTACGCACACTGCCTGTTCCCTTGTTAATGAACTGATCTGTTTTGTTTAAGGAAGGCAATAATAGTCCATTAATGGATATAATGACTAGTACCATGTTGCAATGTTTCTGAAAATACAATCCAGGTGTCACATGATCCAAATTCCACTACAGGGCACTTATAAAAAATGCAGATGCTGAAGCCTAACATCAGATCTACCAGATCTGTAGAATTAGCATCTTAGGGAGGGGAGGCAGAAATCTATAATTTTAACAAGCTCTCCCAAATAGTTCTTATGCTCACAGTCATTTGAGAACCACTGCCACAAATATTTTGCCTCAAAAAAAGAGAGGAGGAGGGAGAGAAAAGAAAGAACAGTTACTAAAATATACATCCTAGTAAGGAAGTAGTTTAAATAAAACTAAGTCAAGTGAACAGATATTTGATTGAGCACTCTCTTGAGCACATACTAGAGGTTATCAGGGACACAAAATAGATAAGATATACTGCTTGCCCTCGAGGAGTCTGGAGGGAGGTGATAGTACAACAGGTAACCGTAACACAAAGCAGACCAGTGGGAATGAAGAATAAGTGACCTCTTATACCTCAAATAATTAAAATCAGAATTACCCTACAATCCAGTAATCACACTACTGGGTATTTACCCCCCCAAATACCAATACATTAATTCAAGGGATACCTGCACCCCTATGTTTATTGCAGCATTATTTACAATAGCCAAACTATGGAACTATGGAAG